GAACCACTAAAGGGAAATTAAGTAAAATTTGCCTTTTCATGGCCTTAACACGTCATTTCGGTCGAACTTCCATTACTGTAACTCCCGATAAGTTAGACAGATCGAACATTATTGAAAACACTTCATCGCATCTAAGTATTGCGTATTTACAGCTCAAAATCCATGGATTTGGTGTGCGGCGGCGGCGCTCGCAAAATCGCTCTGGTCCCACGCGGTGCAAAAACCCAAAACGCGCGATGTCGTCAACGTTAAAGTGAAAAGTTTGATGTTCATCAGCCCGCAGTAATGCGCTGCGCATTTGGCTTTCTTCGAGTAGAGTTTTTTTTTGACTGCCACATTGACCGGTATTGTTAGCCCATTTTTCAAATTGTGATTTGCTATTTACGATCATTCCCTCCCCCAGATTTGATATCAGTAGTGGACTCCAAAGTATTTAGATTGAATTAGTCACGAAAAGCAGAAGCTATACTCTGTCCTGTGTCATATATTTCTTAAGAGAAACTTGCTAAGATATGTATTTTCGACTGCTAAACAGGGCTTCTGTGGTTTCAGGCGTTTTCGGGTGATAATTGCGAGCAACAGGACGCACTTCGTGAGCGTGTTGTCGACCTGCTTTTCAGTCGTGTCACACTGCAACCGCTCCAGAATTACGTCTGCACGCAAGTGGAGGCAGCATTGGAAAGGTGAGCGATTGGATAACTTATATCGTTGCTAAATTTATGGAGGTATGATAAAGAACGGAAGACGAAGGGTGGAAGGATAGGTGGTTAGCACCGAAGGACCACTTCGGGCGCAAGGAGCCACGCCTAAGCAGTCCAAATATGCTTTAGTGTACATATGGAAGGGGCATCCTGAGACTGTCTGGGCGTGAATTATTGTACAAAAAAGGAAACTGGAGTGTTATTTGATGAAACACTAATGAAGAAAGCAAATAGAGTTGGTGGAAGTTTTTAAAGCGTGCTCTACCTTAATATTATCAGAATTATCTGAATCGCTGACTCCTTTCTACTAATTGAATACTAATGAACATTATTTCTCTTTTGGTACCTTTTCGGCACCTTATAAATCTACTCTGTATCATCCTGGGTCCTCACTTAAAGGAATCCTTCGGCGGAAAATTCTTGCATTCTTTCTTGACATGGATGTGTCAGTTGTGATCACCGGAAACAGCACGCAAAGTTTCACGCACGAAGATACGGTCTCCGAAGAGAAACAAATGTCCAAAAACTACACATTATGGACATCAAAGGTA